GCAAGGTCCCCTAACCTTGGCTACTTGTGAGGACTTCAATTCCCAGAATTCCCCAGCCCGCCATAAACCATTCATTTAGTGATGACAGCACTGAAAAAAGCAACTTATGACCTGTTCCTCACACTTACAACCATCATCCCCGTCGTCACATGTTCAAAATTTGGGTGTTTGGTAAAGGAGCTTGTATTTATGACCGTCGTAGCACCTGGGGATCACGTAATTGCCATTTGTGACCTCCCCAGGTGGCAAAGACAATAAGGGAAGCTGGATTCGCTTAACGACTAGACGAGTCACTTACCGGGATGATTCATTGAACAACCGTGGCGAAAAACTACGGGCAGTCCTTGACCTACGACCACAACTGAGCCCCAAATTTCTGTTGTTAAGCAAAAACATTTGTTGAGCGGGTTTCGACCCATTTTACGACCTTCCTCGCCCCAGTTGTTAAGTCAATAACCGCAGTTGATAATTTGGTAACCCAGTTGTTAAGTCAATGTGACTTTCCTTGTTGATTTTGCTTGTCGGAGGTTCGCCCAAAGGGATCACGTGACACACACCCTCGGGACACTGCGACCGTCATAAATACGAGTCAGTTGCCAAGCGTTCTGAATTTTGATCACAAATTTGGAACTCTGAATTGAATTGAGATTTGAATTTTGAATGGTCGTTAAAGGCACTGTTGTACGGCGAGGATTACGGTACCTGTAGTAAAATTGGGCATGCCTGGCTTAAAAACCGACTTGCTTAGCGACAGATGTTCCAGTCTCAATTGTGGTCCTTCACGCCCCCCGGAACCCCAAGATAATTACCTCCCGACCAATGGTGGGTTCCGGATCCCGCTCCAACTGGTATGGTTGGAACGGGCCTGGCGGCGTCCACATAGACGCGCGCAGTGTACATGTGCAAAGTGCACGCATGCGTCTTAGCGCCTCCGTGAGCATCCGCGATGCTCCAGCTGTTCCGCGGAGTGTCGCGCGACGCTGTAGGCGCCATGCGTGTGCGCGGAAACACAGAAGCCTTAAAAGACAGGTAAGGAGTTCAGCCGGGCGGGTGGACCCTCCGGAGCACCGTACCAGAACGGTGTCCGGTGCTCCGGCTAGGCTCCAGTACGACCGTACCGGGACGTACCGGCTGCAACCCACTACTACTCCCGACCCTTGAATTCAAAAATACCTGTTGCTTTACACTGGCTGGTGTCGTCAGACGGTCCTTCTCGGAATTTGGTGTGCCCCCCATCACGCCTCTCTCGTCGGCTCCCATTTGCTTTTCGTCGAGGGGGGGGTCTCGCAGGGGGTCTTTGCCCCCACATTCCCGGGAGGTGCTCTCTTCAGCTGCAGAGTTGGGAGAAGACGAACAAAGAATCCATCAACCACCAAGAATTCATTCAACGAATTCGAACTACAGAGAGTCTTCGACTTACGACCATTCATTGAATGGGCATTTGAGGTTACGACGATACTGGAAAAAGCGGATTATGACCGTGTTCCACACTTACGCCCGTTGCGGCACCCGCGGGGTCAGGCGATTTGCGTTCGGAATGCTTGACCACCGACTCGTCTTTATGACGGTGGCAGAGGTCAGGCGTTCTTTGGCAACCTTCCGGCAAGCAAAGTCAACGGGGAAGCCGGATTCACTTAGCAACCGTGTTACTCATTTAATAACGGCAGTGATTCACTTAAGAAACGTGGCGGCGAGAAAAGTGTAAAACGGCACAGATTGGCGTCACCATTTTTTCCCCACTTTGCAACATCATTTTTGGGGTCAGTTGTGGTCGTTAAGTAGAGGACTACCTGTAATTCAAACTGCAGATAATCCTCGACGTACAACCGTTGGTTTAATGACTGTTCAAAGATACAACGGCATTGAAAAAAGGATTTAGGATCATTTTGGCACTCAAGACATTTGTAGCATCCCCCTGGTCACAAAATCACAATTCAGACACTTGGCAACTGACTCATATTTACGACGGTTGCAGGCTCCCGGGGTCATGTGATCTCCTTTGTCCAGCCCCAAATCTTCTGTTGTAAAGCAAGACAGGTGTTAAGTGCCTCTTGTCTCATTTTTCTTGCTGCGGTTGTTAAGTGAATCACTGCAGTGGTTAAGTCAGTAACGTGGTTATTAAGTGAATCGGGCTTCCCTGTTGACTTGGCTGGTCAGCAGGGCCCAGGACACCACAACCGTCATAATTACATGTCAGTTGCCAAACGTCCAAATTTTAATCCCACGACCACGGAGATTGCCCCAACGGTCGTAAGTGTGAAACACAATCATAGGCCGCTTTTTCCAGTACATCCCTTTTTTCGGTGCCGCTATAACTTCAAACAGTTACTAAATGAACTGTTGTAAGTCGAGGACTACGACAAATAGCTGCATCGTTTACCAGGTTCAAAAGGTATTTTTTCCTACTATAACTGATAACTCAGCGTAGCCCCGGTACGTATTTATCCCAATCCTGTATTAGAGGGAGCCCTGCGAAGCCGTTACTATGACAACTCCACTGTGCTGTACAGTAGAAGCCATTTTAAGGCACAACAGTAAGTTAATCCAAAATCCTATCACTGTCAAAAGTCCTGTGACACTATAGATATAATTCAGCAGCCCAGGCATTCTGGAGTTATGCTGGAACACACACACATGGACACGCACACCCCGAGGGGTGTTAGGGGTGTCTTACCCCCACAATATTTGTTTCCAGAGAGTAAGTCATCTGTGTATCAAGTTAGGTTGAAGTTGCTCAAGGCGTTCCAGAGTTATGCTGGAATATACATACATACATACATGTATAAGAAGAGGAGGAGGAGGAGGAGGAGGAGGAG